GGCTGGACTACACGGCCGCGTACCGTCAGGCGGAGATAGGAGCCTCCTCCCTGGTCTGCTGCTGGCGAGTTTTACCATCCCGGAAGAGGAGTTCCTCTCCTGTCTCTTCTCCAGCTAAGGAACATTTGCCGCATGTGTGTGGCTGGACAAGAGGGAATATAGGACTCTGGGGGGAAGTTTTTATCATACAAAAAAAAACATTCATTTAGTTTTGGTTTTTAGTGTATAGTTATTCCTGCCGGCAGGGCTTTTAGCGGGTTGCGAACATTATTTTTTATTGTGTAGCAGGGATTTTAGCCTGTATTTGGGGGTTCTGACTGTGTTTTACCCTAAAAATAAATGGTGTGTTTAAAGCTGGCTTAGCTTCTGTTCTCCGAGCGCTGACCCACTCACTCCCTTTCCGCTTGTGTATATATATATATACGGACGTGGTGGTTAAGATTTAGGTCCACCAGTTTAGCGGCTACATACCTATCACTGCAAAACAAAAGATGAAGAACTGCATCATGTTTTTACCAAGTTTCACAAGAAAATTAAATATAAAGCAGATTGAGCTCAACAGATGTTGTAAAATTTGTGTAGCTGACCCCAAAGCTGTTTCCTTTGGCTCTGAGTCACAGAAAACACTGCCCCTATACAAAGAGCTGCAGCATGGTATACATGAAGTGAACATTGAAATGGGCGTTGACTCACTCTATTGTTTCCACAAGCAAACATACTAAGAAACTACATGCAGTGTGAACATTCAATAAAGGCATCTTTCTGTTAGTTTGACAAATAAAACCACAGAGGCTCCTAAAGACAAGAGAAAAGTCCGATGTGGTTTGTAGAGATATAATATTTCAACTGCAAACTCAAGTAAAATGAGTTTGTCATGTTCTGCTTTCGTTTTCAAAAGACTGAAAGAAGATGTTCTTGAAAAGGTTAAAGTACTGAGTATTCACACACAAAACAAAATGGAGTGATAAAAGTGAACTCAAAGAGGACTCAGGTCCTCACGTGTCTAGCCAAGAAAGTTGAGTTCAAGAGGAAATCCATCAACGCTCAACCTTTCACGAACCAAGAGGAGCATCAGTACTCATCAGCATTTGTCCGGGAGGGGGACAAGCCAAGGACTAGCCCTTCAACCCCGGACCTAAGCCCGCTGAAGGTTGCCAGGGATTGGCAGATGCAAGTGGACTTGGTTCAGAGGCCATTTTTTTCCTCACAGAAATTGTAACAACTACTCTGCGACCAGACCTCGCCCTTTGGTCTAACTCCTAAAAACTAGTTTACATCATTGAGCTGACAGTGCCGTGGGAGGATGCAATGGAGGAAGCCTTTGAGCGTAAGAAGCTGCGGTATGCCAACTTGCCAGCTGAGGCAGAGGACAGAGGCTGGAAGATCAAGGTGCACCCGGTAGAAGTGGGGTGCAGAGGATTGGTTGCCAGTACAATAGCAAAACTGCTTAGAGAGATTGGAATCAGAAGACAGGCCCAACGGCAGAATTGAGAATTAGCATAGAGAATTAGCTCCTGAGAGGACCAGTCACTGGCTGTGGCTAAAGAGTGATGTTAGCCGTCTTTGGCTGTGGCTAAAGAGTGATGTCAGCCGTCTTTGGCTGTGCCTAAAGAGGTCTGACATCACTTGAGCAGCTAAAGCGGTCAGCTAACCATGAGACACATGCCCAGGATTGGTCAACCCATGGTGGGCCTGCCTCAGGAGAGGGCATCAAAGGGGTAGAAAACCTAACACTAGAAACTTTGCTGTTTGACTGATTCAGCTGTCTCAGGGCCTCCTGGGGGCCGTGCAGTTAACCTCATGGTAGTGAAACCTAAAGGAGGAATGGAAGAGAAAAAAGAAAAGGAAAAATGTTCCTGCTCTTCTTCCCTTTTCTGGAAGACAGTGGGGAGGTAGAGCGTACAGCCCGATCCGACAGGGAGGTGTGGGATGCCAGATCAGGCGCCCCCCTTCCAGCTCACCCGATGAATCCAAGGTCCACTGCTGACGATATGTCCCAAATTTAATATGATTATCTAGATCAGATCTCTAATCCCTAAACATAACCAAGGAAGGTAAAAAAATAGCAGATTAGCTTGGGATAAAAGACTGAAACACCCTGTAAAGTTGGGGCACACAAAAATGTGTCGAATGTGGCCGAAGTGATACAAATTCATTCTGATGAACAGTGACATATATTTATATACAAAAATGAATCAAAACTGGTAGTAGGAGTGGTTTAGTTTGTGATATTAGTCAGTACTCTGACCTACATTTACTGCTTGCATTAATAATATTAATGTAACATTGCTTCTTTGTACACTGGCACAAAGTCAGTTTTAAGGGGAAGAGAAGAAACATTGTAGGTAAGGTCCACTCCTCCATATGAACACTCCCATCCCATTCCATCTGTCTGGCAGAAATTTGTAGCCAGCAGCCTGTGAGATTTATGTTTTTTGAATACATTTTTAAAGGAAATGCATCACTTTATGTTGTATTTTGATTAGATTGAGGTTTTTCTGGTTTTAGTGATGCAGCACTCTTGACTCTTGGAAATGGCTGGCATACAGCAACAACATGGCAGTGAATGACAAGACAAGTTAGTGTGTGTGAGTGTAATAGAAGCATCAGCTGGAGTTTAGGTGGTCACTCCATTCTGAGAGGGAGTAACCAACAGTCACACAACCACACACACACAGGCCTGGTGAAAATAAATGCAGAATATCAGTAAAGATCAAAAAAGGACTCTGATGTGTTTCACAGCAAATGGGCATTCATACAAGATTGTGAGTGTGAAGATTTCTAGATTAGAATTTCATGGGACCTAAAACTAAAATCTGTGTTTTCATGAGTGGGTTTTTAACTTTTCCCATTCCATTTCCTTTATGAATAGCAGATTGATCATGAATTGGAGAATCTTAAATGTTTTTTGAAGACAGTAGCAGGGTGCTCAGGTCACTCACTTCTTCATAAGCTCTTCAGCATTACTACTGGTCGATATTATTATGTTATTAAAGCCACAGAAGGCGTTTTATTTGTATAGAAGTATTTGACAACTTCCTGTAATATAAGATGGCAAAACCAATATACCACACATCCCTAGATTTAAGATAATCTTTTCTGCCCATGCTTAGTGTCTTTTTAACAGACATAATTTCTGTTTACTACTCTCGGTGGTCTCACAGTACATGAATTTATTTTAAGCAGGACACTGTAACAGACTTGTTTTTTTAATATCTGATTAAATATCTTTAAATTCTCTCTCAACCTTCCTTTTTTACATTCAGTGTTCTTAATGACAAACACTTACAATAGTTGCTTTTTCAAGAACATTTTATTGATACGTTAGACAAATGCAATCAACTGATATGTCGTAGTACATTTGTTGCAGTAATTACGGAGCATTCGAATGCCATGTTAATCAATATGGAAATTAAAACAAATGAAAACAATTTTTAGATACAAAAAACTAATTGAAAATGTTGTTGTTTAGGACAGCAATCTGGATGAATGGAGCTACAAAGAAAGTTGATAGCTGAGCATGCAACCATTCAAATTTGTTTTATACTGGTACTGATCAGGTAGGTTGTCCTTGGAGACAGTCGCCTTTCTTGCAAGAAAATGCCCCTCTCTGTGTCATAAAAACTAGACAAGCAAGTAGTCTGACTGTTGCTGTGATGATTGTTTGATCTCCTGTGAGAGATGGGAAATTTTGTTTCAGAAAATAAATAACATATCCCAAAATAAAGATTTTAACAAACAAACAAATTAAGCTCCCAGCAGTGTTCCCAGGGGGGTGTACCGAGAATCACAGCGCACAAGACTATAAGACATAATAAGACGTAAGTATATAAAGATAAGGAATATAATGAATTAACTGCAGAGAACTTACGTGGAGCTTCACTAACAGTAAAGTATTTCGTAACTGTGCCCTGACTGTTTGGGGCGGTGCAGGTATAGACCCCTGGAAACTGAGATGATTGGGTCAAAATGGGATGATTCACATTTTGATTCTTGTACGTCTCTTGTGCTGCTTGCAAAAACTGCCAGACATATGATGGCACAGGGTTTCCTGTAGCATTGCAATTTAAGATGACTTTTTCACCAGCTGGAAGTTCAAGGGTCCCGTTTGAAGCATTGGTGAAGGTTGGTGGGTCTGAGGACATGTGAATCAAAATGCACACAAAGAAAAAATGTGAAAATAGAGTACAAAAACTTGTAATGGTTAAATTATGATCATATTTAAAACTCACAGAGCACATTCACATTATGCGCCTCTGAGCGCACTGGAGGAGGACCTTGTTCCTCTGGCCACAGGTTCAGCTTTGCTTCACACCAGATCTCAGCTCCATCATCATCTCTATGAGCAGTCAGAGT